GTTATCACGTGACCAGCTCGTGAGTATTCACTAGAAGACAAATGTCTTGTGTCTGTCCGCCGCCTAATGTCTTCCGGCTGGTCAGATAAAATGGCTGCCTCACCAGGTCAACAGAAACTTGAGCCCCCATTGGCGGTTGGTGTTCACGTGATGCGGGTGGTTAGGTGTACAAACAGTCAGGTGTGGCTGTGGTCACCACAATCAGGTGTGGCTGTCGCCCCGCCCCTCCCCCGTCTGACTGTAAGCGGACCAAAAAAGTCATATAATAAAGTAACACAAAAAGTCATATAATAAAGTAACACAAAAAGTCATATAATAAAGTAACACAAAAAGTCATATAATAAAGTAACACAAAAAGTCATATAATAAAGTAACACAAAAAGTCATATAATAAAGTAACACAAAAAGTCATATAATAAAGTAACACAAAAAGTCATATAATAAAGTAACACAAAAAGTCATATAATAAAGTAACACAAAAAGTCATATAATAAAGTAACACAAAAAGTCATATAATAAAGTAACACAAAAAGTCATATAATAAAGTAACACAAAAAGTCATATAATAAAGTAACACAAAAAGTCATATAATAAAGTAACACAAAAAGTCATATAATAAAGTAACACAAAAAGTCATATAATAAAGTAACACAAAAAGTCATATAATAAAGTAACACAAAAAGTCATATAATAAAGTAACACAAAAAGTCATATAATAAAGTAACACAAAAAGTCATATAATAAAGTAACACAAAAAGTCATATAATAAAGTAACACAAAAAGTCATATAATAAAGTAACACAAAAAGTCATATAATAAAGTAACACAAAAAGTCATATAATAAAGTAACACAAAAAGTCATATAATAAAGTAACACAAAAAGTCATATAATAAAGTAACACAAAAAGTCATATAATAAAGTAACACAAAAAGTCATATAATAAAGTAACACAAAAAGTCATATAATAAAGTAACACAAAAAGTCATATAATAAAGTAACACAAAAAGTCATATAATAAAGTAACACAAAAAGTCATATAATAAAGTAACACAAAAAGTCATATAATAAAGTAACACAAAAAGTCATATAATAAAGTAACACAAAAAGTCATATAATAAAGTAACACAAAAAGTCATATAATAAAGTAACACAAAAAGTCATATAATAAAGTAACACAAAAAGTCATATAATAAAGTAACACAAAAAATTCATAGAAACAAAGTCAGAGTTTTACCCAGGAAAAAAGCCACAGAAAAAAAAAATCATTGAAATAAATTCACAAAATATAATCTTGGAAAAAGTCACAGAAAAAGTTCGAGAAGCTACAAAAACGTTCTAAGAAATATTTTGTTTTACCTGTTGAGAATTGTAAATAATAGCGCGTTTATCAATGTCGGTGATGTTTAATAATAATTTATAAACACAAAAGGCATTAAGGTTTAGAATAGTGAAACGAGTTTTTAAAAAGTAAAAACTCTAGGCCTATAAGATAATTTACATAGCAGCCTCCAACGTTGTTACACATCTATTTGAATGACTGGTTAACAAAATAATCACAAAAGAAATGAAGTCATTGTTGTTTGGGGCCCATTCCTCCCCCCCACACACACACTTTTAAAATCTAACACACAAATATGACAACTCACAACCTTGACCTACTTTTGACCCGATCCCCAACACACACAGTGACCTACCTGGCCAACCCTTCTACTGCGCGAGACAGACCGGAAGCTCTAGTTGGGATTGGTGCTTGTAACGGCGGTCCAGGAATTGACATACAAACTCAAACAAATGATACCTCATTTAAATACCACCGCCACGAAATACCACATCGATGAACTATCCGTTTGTTTATGGAAATACATCCCTCTCGCTTACCCTATAAGTGACCCACGGAACATAAGGCCATAGACGGCCAACAAGTGACCCACTGAACATAAGGCCAGGGACGGCCAATAAGTGACCCACGGAACAAACGGAAATTGACGGCCCCGTTAATCACATGCAGGATCTCCCGACAGTTGCCACAAGTGACAGTGACATTATTTACCTGGGTGACAGTGACATATAGCTACCTGTCCCACCGATCCCTGATTGGGAACTTCCGTTTTTCTGTTGTTGTTGTTAGCCGGCCACTATTTATGTTGCCCACTTCCTACTTCCGTGATCTATTTTTAGTTACACGGCGTTTGTTGGTAAACACTGGGAACCACGTGATCATGTTTACTATTGTAGTCCAGACACCTGTACATCCCTATAAACAATTGCAAGAGACACCAAGGTGAAGGACGTGTCTCTCTGACCCCAAGGTCGGTACCTGACTGCTACACTGCTCGTCCTACACACCAGCCAATAGTCCTTAGAGAAGACGATGCTAAGAGTTTGTTGTGGTCAAATGTATACCACTGTGGCCTTGATAAAATAATCAATGGAAAACACTTACTCACAGATTGCAGGACTTGCCTGGTCTGACCATCGCCATCAACCTCTCACGTCACACAGAGATGTCACAGAGAGTGAGCAAGGTAACTGCTGCAATGGTCAAACTGTCAAAGCACGTGTGGGAGAATACAGAGCTGACCAGCACACCAACATGCTGATGTGTAATCTCTGTGTGGTGAGTGCTCTACGACAGCAAGTGTTGGCCAACGTACACGCACCAGAAATGTAAACAGAACACCATTCAAAGGTGCTGCCTATGACGCAGTCTGAATGCCACTTTGGCGGCCGAGCCCCAAAAGACATCCTCTACGGGGATCGTACCAACGGTACAAACCCCAAGGGGCGACACCTTATAAGGTAAAGAGGTGTCTGTAAACGAGACCTGCGGCAAGCTGACATAATTAAACCATGTGGAAACAGCTGACCTAAGACAGAACATTGTGGAGACAGGACGTGCGGACAGGCATCCTCATAGGGCAGAGGTAGACAAAAGAGAATTGGGCAGAGGTAGACGAAGAGAGAAGAGGGAAAACGATCAGTCCAATATTATTTAACCAATCACAATGATTGTAATAACTGTGCAGAGATTGTCATTATGAAATTGGCCTGATCATCCACCAGGCCTGGCACCAATAAAATATAACGACATCTACATTTATGGTCACTGTCTGGGGGGGGGGGGGTGGGGAGCCAGACCTGATGTTGTATGTGTGTGGGGCAGTGGGGGAGGGTGTTTATCACGTGTCACACGGAAAGACGATGACAAGCTAATTAATCCCTTGCCTTAATTAGCCTGGCATCAATCGTTGACTTAGCTCGAACTGTAGTTAGTCACGTGATTGCCGTGTTTTGTCAGTGCAGGTTATTTACCACCGACAGAAATAGCCGTTGGTATTAGACCCCGGGGCAGTACGAGGGGGGGGGGGTGTTTGTGGTGATGAAAGATTAATGTTCACCTCCACTCCCTCAACACACCGTGTGTAAACAAACACGTGTACTTTAAGCTCTTACGTTACGTAAGGTGCACGCAAATTGGGTGGACACTTTTGGGGAAAAGTCACAGGAAAAAAAACACAAGAAAAAAAAACACAGAAAAAAAGTCACAGGAAAAAAAGTCACAATTATATATTTGCATGGAGTTTGTTAATACTAATTTGTATGTGTTGAATATTGAGTGCAAATCAACTTAGATTAATAAACTGTAGTGTGCGTAGGTTGTATATGTATTATAATATTTATAGCAAACGTAAAAATATTTACTATGTAGTGTATATGCTTTAATTCCGCTATACATATAATTATATACATATAATATTAAATAGAGTTAAATAGAATGTTCCAGCCTTTTCGGTTTTCATCGTGTCTTTTAAATTAGCGTGAAATGGCATAAAGACGTTGCTAATCTGACTTGCTGCCCTCCTCACTGCAACAATAGTTCAACCACCTATTCTTCCCACGTTCATCACGCTCATTACGTAACAAAGCATATGATCAAAACAGAAGGCCGACACGGTACAAAGGCTGGCTTTGACACAAAACGTCAACAACACACAATATGGACGGACAAGGCCGACTGAGGAGAAGCCGACCAAGGAATGACCAACGGCAAAAACAAATATGCAAAACTCAATGATGGGCCGAAATTTCTTTTGTAATTATTTTTTCTACCGTGTATTTTAACTAAACACGTGACTAAAGTGGAGGCTGCTGAGTAAATTACATCATATTATTGTACGTAGTATTGTAATTTGTTATAAAACATAATACTTTTACGTTCAAATTTATTCAAATTTATTCAACTTTATTAAAAAAACGGTTACAATTGTAGGCACGACGGCCTTTTTTTCACATTGGCCGTTTATAAATATTCTATCAAAACAAAAACAACCCACATCAATAAACATCCACAATTTACAATTATTAACAATTAAATCAAAATATTTATTTAAAGTTTTTTGTGACTAACAAAAACTGGCTTTTTTCCGTTCACCATTTGTTGCAGTCCTATTTATTTTATTTATGTTTCCTTTTGTTGTATAGCGCTAGACAAAACCGTTTGTCTTTAAGGACAACAATGCGATTGTATTGTGTAAAATATAAATAATGAAGGCCTTAAGTCCATGGAAATACATCATACTATGCAGATTTATATTTTATATTACGGAATACAATATCCTGTCCAAAGGTTTATTTATCTAGTGATGTACAAGTAAGAGAAATGTGTAGAACGGGGTTGGAATGGCGAGAAGTTTCTCATTCACAACTGCGAACTTTCCTGACAGGTCATTCAATGACCCATGACCCCACCAGTGTCTAAATTTAACTCCAGACCTCTGACGTCACAGGTATTACCCGTGTTGATCTGCCCCTCGCGTCGGTCTCGCTTTCACACAGCTCGCGAGAGAGTTCCGACACGCCCACTGGCAGTCGACGTTACAAGGATATCTTCGCAGGCGGCTTGCGAAACGTGACCTACTTAACGACCCAAACACGAGCGTGCTACGTCACGTGGTGCGGTGGGGCGGGAAGTTAAAAATACACGGCGGGCTGGTATAAATGACGTGACAGCCAGCTGTGAGAAGCGCAGTTTCACTGAACGCGAGTGAAAGCAACTCAAGCTAAACGATACTTAAACAAAGCGAATTTTACTCTAAGGATATATCCGAACATTACTTGATAATTTGATTCGACGGTTTCAGTTAGATTCAAACCAGATTATTTTGACCATGGTTAGCGATATGATGAAACAATGTGGTGGCGAGGAGGTCGAAACTAAGAGGAATGATGACCATTGTGACGTCACAAAGCACAGAAACTCTTTGAGAAGAAAATTAAATGGTGAGTAACTTCAAATTTCGTCTTAAAACACGCAATATAGAGATCTAGATGTAGTAGTGGTAGATGTGGCCATCTAGAATCTAGTAGTCACAGTAGTGGTAGATCTATACTAGATTCTAGTATCTCATCATCTAATGACTAATGTCACTAAAGTATAAAAATCTAACGTTAACAACTCACAGGTATATTCGGTAGGCATAGAAATGTTTTTTTTTTATATTTAATTGCCGGTGAACTTTATCTTAATAATGTTAGAATGTTTTATTTTAATTAGTAATTAGTTTATGCGTAATGATGTCCATGCTGAATGTAACAAACATATCCATATGGTCCAACCATCAGCTGCTGGTTCTTGTACAGATCTAGAATAAAGATCTAGATCTAGATATAGATCTATAGTCTAGATCTTGTCATTGTGTAGTAGCGGTAACTGAACTAGAGATCTAGTTATTACTAGATTAGTGTAGGATCTAGATCTAGAGAGTCTAGTATGTATAGGGCAGTATAGGCCCTATACGGCATGCCATTGACACGGCCTTCAATACTTCAGTGGGTTGAAATATCTATCGTCAGTAGTACACACGGCTACCCCGTCATTACAACACGTGTGTTAGACCGTCATTACAACACATGTTAGTAATGTTAGACAGTCAACACGTTGGACAGTCATTACACATGTTGGACAGTCATTACACATGTTGGACAGTCATTACACATGTAGGACCATCATTACAACACATGTAGGACCATCATTACTACACATGTAGGACCATCATTACTACACATGTAGGACCATCATTACTACACAGGTTAGACCATCATTACTACACAGGTTAGACCATCATTACTACACAGGTTAGACCATCATTACTACACAGGTTAGACCATCATTACTACACAGGTTAGACCATCATTACTACACAGGTTAGACCATCATTACTACACAGGTTAGACCATCATTACAACACATGTAGGACCATCATTACAACACATGTAGGACCATCATTACTACACGTGTAGGACCATCATTACTACACGTGTAGGACCATCATTACAACACGTGTGTTAGCCCCCGCTGTCTAGCCACTAGCACGTGTCTAGAATGACTGCCAATCCCGCCTAAGGCCCTGTCTCCCACTCTATCTCATGCCCCCCACACCCTCTCCCCACCCCACGACCGTCCACCTCCCCTCCCCATCCCTAGTTATCCGAGACGGTCTTTCCGTCCCCTGGTCTGCTGGTGTTTATATATTCTTGGCATGACTGATCCAGCAGGCTACGGTATCAGTTGGTCATTTAGTACAGGCGGCCATTGGATAGACGGCCGGACAGTTTGGTTTTATTGACGGATTGTTGGTGGGACGGCCGGAATAACTACCATCGTCGTCATGACTTTTAAAATTAAATTTCTGGAACTTAAAGGGAACTTCATGACCGTAGATGAGCACTGTCGCTATTTGCTCTAAATGCGCACAATCAGTCCCTGCCATTACAATAAACGATAAACAGCCTTATGTGTACGATTACTTTTTGCCAGCGATACTCTTCCTGTATCGATATCCTGTACTACGACGAAATTCACATCCATTTTTCAGTCGTAATGTCCTGTTCGGGAACTTCCGGTTTCTGTTTAAACTACTCCTATTTCCTGCTAGTACACGTGTCCGGACAATCCTTGTCCGGGTCTCGTATGCCGGACATAAATGGTTGAATGTCCGAACCAGCGATATTTATCTGGACGCGAATGCTGGACAACAGATTGTTGTCTTCAACATCTGGTCAAAACACGCAGTTGTGACATCACAAACTGGTGTCAACATGTCTCATACATCATGATGCTTTTGTTGACCAATGGCTTTTTTTTTTAATTTCCAGGCTTGACCTCTAAGCTACGTAGTCTCAAGGTCAGATCCAGCCATAAAAGACAGACACGGGAGAAAGGGAAGGAGAATTCTGGTAAGACAAATATCTGTTTTTCTCTCTTTAGTCTGATCTTGCTACCAGATCTTGTCTTACCTTGGTCCTGTCTTTCAACTTTTCTGTAGTGACATTTTCTCAATAGCTCTAGACAGGGATTAAGAGGAGGAGGGGGGTAGAGATAGTTTAAATTTATCTTTAGATGTGTCTAGCTAAAATCTATCCCAGTTGAATGTTTGAAATGTTCTCAATGTGTCGTGTCATCAATGTGTCGTGTCATCAATGTGTCGTGTCATCAATGTGTGATGTCATCAATGTGTGATGTCATCAATGTGTGATGTCATCAATGTGTGATGTCATCAATGTGTGATGTCATCAATGTGTGATGTCATCAATGTGTGATGTCATCAATGTGTCGTGTCATCAATGTGTCATTCATATGTCATGTTTATCCTACAGATGTACCAGGAGCCATTAGTGACCAAGTTAACCTCTTCGATAATTTATCCGACCTTGACCTATCACACAGTACAGATGAAGAAGACCATATACCAGACACCACCAACAACAACTCTACCACCGTGGTGCTGGACAACACGCCTGCTGACATGACGGAGCTGACCAACCGCCCGTCAGCCTCCTGTGGCATGCTGGGCATGCGCAGACAGTGTCGCGTCTGGAGCGGACTCAGCTCCTCCGTCAGGCCGACCCACAAGTCAGGGAAAGTTCTAGACTTGAAGGCCTTAGATGACGTCATCACTGACTCGACTGGCTCTCTGTCTACTGGTAGCTCAGAGTGCAGCTCTGAGCTTAATGGCAACAACCTGAGGTGGCTGGACGTGTATGAGAGTGACGCTGAGACAGACAAAGATGTCGAGGATGGTGACGATGACGTGTTTGTTTCCTCTGACAACCTGTCAGCATTAGTTAGACAAAATGGCATGTCACTTATCAGTGACGGCACACATGGCACGGACATGTGGCAAAACCACTTCAGAGCCCCTCTTCAATGTGGGGGTGTTTAACTGTGTCATCACCCCCCCCCCCCCCCCCACCTCCTCAATGTGGGGTGTAAAAACCACAAGTTTGTTAGAATCTTTTGATTGTCCAAGGCATTACTTCATTGATGGTGTAGTGGTGATTTATTTGTGGTGTGTCTGATACAGTTATGTAACATGGATTTTGAGTGGTGTCATGTGGAATGGTGTCATAGATTGTCAGCTGAATGGTGTCAGTGAGTACCAATGTTTGGAATGTGCGGGGTCTGAGATGTTTAATCAACGTGCTTGAAGCATTTAAAATTCCTGGATATATGAAAAGTGGGGGGGGGGGGGGCGTGAAAGAAGAGCTGAACTAAATCTTGTACACTTCATGGTTTAGTTATACTGTCCATTATTTTTGTGGCTGGTCATGTTGCTCATTGTCTGTGTGATCTAACCGGCCACAACATGTTGATATTACATGCTATTATTTAATATGTACTGTGTACCATATGTATTTAATGTACAAATTATTTCTGTGAACATGCTTCTTGTCTGGAATGTTCAATAAAATACCTTCAGATGTGTACTAGCATGAAACCCCTGTTTTTTTGGGGTCTTAAAAATTTCAAATTCTTGTAGCCCCCCCCCCCCCTCATCTGCCCACCCTCTTGTACCTGGGTCTGTGTGATCTGAAAGTTATGTATGATCTTGGTCTGTGTGTGATCTTGATCTGTGTGATGTGATCTCTGTATGACCTGGGCTGTATGATCTGAAAGTTGTATGATCTGGCCTGTGTGTGACCCAAGCTGTGATCTGAAGCTGTAACAACCAGCTGTCACAGCTTGAAAGGTGAATGTTTACATCAGTCACGTGATAGTTCTATTTATAACCCACGTCTTTCATTGACACCTGCTACAAACGTTGACAAGGTCTATGCCGTCCATAAAATTTTTGTTGATGAAATGCTTTGGATCTGTACAAGATTCCTGTATTATTTTGAGAAAAATAAATACACGTGTTGGTTCGAAGTTTACCTTGTCTTTTATTTTAACTTGACTGTGATGTTTGGTTAGATGGTAGTTCTACACTAGCGGTCAAGTTGACTGATGTTTGGTTAGATGGTAGTTCTACACTAGCGGAGGTCAAGTTGACTGATGTTTGGTTAGATGGTAGTTCTACACTAGCGGAGGTCAAGCAAGCTGTATAGCCCAGACACTAAACGCGGTCCTCCACCCCCCCCCCCCCCCCCTCCACCCACTCACTAATACAATGAAAAGATAAAATACCCACGCCCAGACCTAATTTATTCCAGAACATGAACCCGCTTAATATTTGAACTGCGAAGTCTCTAATGGTAGGCGATGTGACGTCATCAGATGGTCATCTGGCCGAGGGCGGTCTCAAGATTTTAGCCTGGACACTTGTTCATCTTTGTACAACATTGGTTACATCCTGCCTACACATTGGTAGTGTGTTGGGGGAGGGGGGTGGACGATAAACCTCACACATAGGTAGTGGGGGGAGATAAACCCTACCAATCGTTAGTGGGGAGGGGGAGACAAACCTCACCCATCCGGATTATTTCCCCACCAGAGTTTCTTCCCCCCGAACTAAATGAAATTTATATAATTTATATAGAAAATATATACTTTTAACAGTGTCCGCCCCCCCCCCCCCCCCTAAGAAAGTCTACCGCCCCCCCCCCCCCCGGAGAAAAAAGTCCGGAAAAAAACACTGTTCCCCACCCTAACCAAGGTAGAGCTAAGACTCAAGACACCCGGTGATTTGAGTGAGGTTGGTTCATTGGCTAGATCTAGATGTGTATTGACGGTTAGATTTAGATGTGTATTGACGGCTAGATCTAGATGTGTAATGAAAGTTTGACACAGCAACAATTGTTACATATTTGACACAGCAACAATTGTTACATATTTGACACAGCACCAATTGTTACATTTTTTGACACAGTAACAATTTTTACGTGAGGAAGTTCTAGAAGGTCTGGACAGGTTCCACTCAATGTAAGAATCAACAGCCACAATAGTACGCAATGTGAACTTGTACTTCGGAATGTGCACTTTTTAGGTACTAAAATGTGTATTTGTGCAACATAAGCCCAAGTAGTGTGTGTAAGATGTGTACATGTACAAACTAGAGTGCTGTAGTATAAGATGTGTACGTGTACAAGCTAGAGTGCTGTAGTATAAGATATGTACAAGCTGTGTACAAGCTGTTGTATAAGGTGTGTACGTGTACAAGCTAGAGTGCTGTAGTATAAGATGTGTACAAGCTAGAGTGTTGTAGTATAAGATTTGCACATTTATAAGCTAGAGTGCTGTAGTATAAGATGTGTACGTGTAGCTGTACTTCACTCATCCAATAACTGTACCCAGCACTCGCTGTATCTAGGTCGCTGGAGCGGGTTATAAATAAACCCACGAGACAAGAGTGCGGCGGCTTCTTAGAAGTATATGCCAGACAGTGCCAGGGGTCAAGGTCGTGGCCGCCAACTGTAACAGATGGAACTGACGGTCAAGGCCAGCTGATGATCACGTGTTCAAACAATGTCTGGTGATGAATCTGATCGTCTGCCAAACCATCCAAGCAGATCTGTTCCACTGGCTGTTGATCCACGGGGATTTTATGCAGGGGAGGGGGGGGTAGTGGAGGAACTCGCAGGGTCGGTAACCGTTGGTAGTTCCAGACATCCAGAGGTCAGTGGAACCGTTGACAGACTCGGTAGTGTGGGGGTCAGTGAACACATTGGTTGGGGTAAATGACACAAAAAGCCATGTAGTATTTTGACCAATTCCTTTTATAATGTATTAAAACAGTTATCTAAAACGCGAAATAACGTTTAAAACTCGTTTTCCAACATTGCATTTTTATAATGCAAAAAAAAGGGACGTCACACCATCTGAATCCCTTCCCCCCTCATCACACACCGTCACAAAATTAAGGACCCCCCCTACGAGTGTGACGTCATTGGCTGAACACATTGGTTGAACCCATTAGTTAAACACATGAACAGCAAAGTAAATTGTGTGAACCAGCTATTGAACACAAGAGTTAAAGATAAAAGATGAACATTATAGTGAGGATCAGCATAACAGTTTAAATCGGTGCTAACTAAACACGTTAAACACACCAAAAAACACATATCAGACACAACGGCACAAACACAATTTAAGCATCACAAAATGAACACAAACACAGCAAGTGAAACACAACACTCATTCACACCGGCTGAATAATTTCTCTGAAACAATCTCATGATTAATGACCTCATTATGTAACTGCAACAGTTTATGGTGATTAGGATTATGCAACAAACGCAAATTATCTGTTGTTTATGTGGTCATGTGACACCATGAACCCAACCAATCACATCATTTCTTCATGGGGGGGGGGGGGGGGGGGAGACACTTGAAATCACCCACGGTCGTCTGTATGATTAGTCAGCTTATATAATCTTATAATCATATAGCTTATTTAATCTGTTGCTTTAATATAGGAGTCTGATGGCATGAGTTCATTAATTCAAGCTTTAAAGACACATTTCAGCGTTGATGTTGATGATTCTAGAACAAATCAAGAAACAGGAAGATTGGTGCATTGTGGGGTAGTTGTGGAGCTTACCTGAGCTTACCTCAGAATTGACACCAGCCGACCTATTTATAGCACTACGATCAACCCAGAATTCCCGACACATCATAGAATTTTGTTTTCTAGTGGAAATAACCGGTGCTAAATGTCGACACGACATTTCTGCTGCTTTTAACCCCCCACCCCTCCCCCATGGCCACACTCCACCCCCATTAGCCACTTGGGGCAGGAATTGCCTATAGTATGTGACGTTAATTATGGAGACGTCTTGTAATGACTAATGAACTGCTTAAATTGACGTCTAACGCTGAGACAAGAGACAGACGTGCGACGTGCAATCGGCTAGGACCAAGTCATTAAACTTGAGAACCGTCGCTATTCGCACCCTCCTTGTCCCTCCCCTCCCCATCTGTCCCATATATAGATTGTTTAATTGTACCGGCTGCTGGTTCTACAATGTCTAGTGACGTACCTTGAGGTACATTAGCGCGAGGTTAGCATTGATTTCTTATTGGTTGAAACTCATGTGTGTGTGTGTGGGGGGGGGGGGGTTATTTTATTAAATTCAATAAACATCAGGGCATTTTTATAGTCTGCTGACGTCATAACCCACGTGATTATTGGCTCAACAAGGTTGTTTGTGTACCGTTCTATAAATAGACACAGTTATTCCCGATAAATCCATCTACCGTAACTTAACTTTCAGGTCTAGGTGAAGATTGTTCTAGAACATTCAGTCATACTGGTTGTCAGGTGGTATACCCGGGGTTTAAAACGTGTGATCGCTAAACATAGTTCGCGACTTCAAACCCAATGATTCTTTCAGACATTTTTCTCGGGTTATTTATCCAGTTTGTCCGGGGGGGGGGGGGGGGGGGCGATGAAGGTGTTTCTGGGGAGGGAGTGGTAGTATGCCGCTCCCCCCCCCCCCCCAAAGGAAAGACCATGAGCAGTGAAAGCTCGGGTTCTATCTCTGACGTCATAAGAGGACTAGCATCGTATGCTATCAGAAACTGATTAACTCTACTTCATCTGCCCGATGGGATATCAGGACTTTTACATCCATACTTTAAAGGTGTATGTGATCGAGAGATATTTTAAAGTACTAGTTTACTGGGTAAACAAAGACAGACACACACACAGACAAACACGGACACACGGACACACAGACAGACACACACACAAACACAGACACACAGACAGACAGACAGACACACAAACTTGAGTTCATCCACCTGACCAGTCAGCCAGCGCTGACGTCTCGCTTCGCTGGTTTTATTTACCTGACCTTGGGGTGGTGACTTGACTGACTTGACTGAAGCCACTGAAACTTGACTGAACTTTTCTGATCTACCAGTTTTTCGCGTGCCCACTAGTGACACACGTACATACAGGTATGTTCGCTCTAAGGTCAATGACCTGTGGGTCATTCTGTTACGACACGACGGTCAGTAGCACCAGGTGATAGGGTCAGTAGCACTTTAATCAGAGTAGCACCATACCACAGGTTGAGTAAGAGGATCACACCTAACCAAACGTTTGACCAGTTTTAGAGGAGGTTTGGACAGCCTTGCTTCAACCGCTGAACTCTGTCACCCGTGTTTATCAGACGTTGGAAATTTTAAAGTGTGGGTAGACCCACCACTCCACACCCTCCCCTGGCTCTCCTTCACTCCCCCAGACCGTCCCACTTTTGACAAACCTGTGTGTGTGTGTGTGGATCGACAACCTTCCCACAAGCTACTGCGTAGTTAGGACAAACTGCCTACAGGGTAAAGGGAAGTAACTCAATTTAAAGGAAACTTTGTACAGTTGAGCTCTATCACTTCCCCTTACCCGTGATATTTTTAGCAGGTCTAATGAGAGTAAAGGCGTAGTTAACCAAAAAATTTACTAGCGTATAGTATATGAAACAATTTGAAAAAAAAAAAACCTAACAAAAAACTACAACAGAAAATACGCGAGGAAAAGTTTCCATCGGATACAAGGTAGCAATCCAGCAGTCAGGTGTATGTTGACGTATAGGTAAACAAAAACAATTAATTATAACACTCTGGTTAATAGAAATATATCACTCGGATATAATAAAAACATAATTTATTGTAATAAGTTAAAATAAATATAAGTATCAATAATTTTAAAATAACATAATACTTTAGCGAATATCACAATATGTCAAATAACATAGGATAAATATGTACACACATGAGCTTAGGATACGTCACATACACGTGTGAGGTCTTATCACGTGATCAGGTGAGTTAAAACAGGTAAAAGACATCGCGTGCATGGTGAATGTGTCAGGCGTTAAACATGGGGGAGGGGGGGGAAGCAAACAGAGAATGGACTACATGAATTATCAGGTTTTGATCTAAGGCCTAAGCAGCATTGTGTTCAAATATGTAGGTTTTTAGGTCAGCCTGTTGGTGTGTTCTGGGGCAGTTGTGTCAGGGTCAGGGTCAGTGGGGAGTTAAGACGCCGGGGCTGATTTTTGAAAAAATAAACCGGGAGTGATCTCCCCTAAACTTTCTCGAATATTCTTATATAACACTACGGGGGATAGACATGATTTTTAATCCATTTTTAATTGCTTAAACTTTTAAAAGAATAGAATCTCGTAGAAAAAAGAATTGCGCACTAAGCGAACGCCAAAAAAAAAATCTGTGTATAATAATGATTATGATTATGATTAGTACTTTATAAATTCACATGTGTTTTTTGAGAAATCAGAAATAGCGTAAATTACTACTTCCAGTAAAAGAAATTACTCAAATTTTGAGAGAAGGCAGATAATTAGATCATTTACTTACATGTGAAATTTCGTTTATCTATCTCAAACAGTACTCAAGTGATAGGCTCTTGAAAAATTGAAAGTACAATAAGTTCCACTTCCGGTTACCGGAAATCGCTGAAAAGTTTATACGCATCTACAAATCTATATATATAATTCCCTTCTTGGAGACGATAGAAAACACCAAGCTGTATGCGCGCTCCCTACCATCCCCACCCCTACATGGTCTGGTGAGCTGTTGTTCACGCCAAATGTTTACAATCGTAGGGCCGGGTTTAGTAACGGCTATTAGGGGCAGATAATTTAGTTTGAAACGATTTTAAACTTAGGCGCGGTAACTAAGAGGAGTTTACTTTCACGGGGGGGGGGGGGGGGTTAGGGGAAAAGGGGGGGGGGGTATCGTCCTTAACGCGCTACTGATAGAGTTTTAAAGCAAATATTTTCAATGGCAGCGTTGTTACTGTCGAATTCACAAATTATGAATTACTGAAAAGTAGAAAATAAAACAACTAAATAGCGGCGTATGATACGCCGCGGGTCGGTTCGTCTGATATAATACTTATATATGGAATTTCATAAACCTAGCTGTAACGGTACTCAAGTTATCGTGTTCACAGACACACATACACACACACACATACATACGAACAAGATTGCAAAATTATGTTTTATCCGACTCAGGGAGATGTAAAACGTCGAGATTTGCAAAAAATCTCAATTTTTTTTTTTTTTGCACAATTACAACACTTTCTCTAAACTTCGTATACGAGAAAGTAAAAATGTAGTATTTTCAAAATGTGGTGTTTTCAAAATGTGGTGTTTTCAAAATGTGGTGTTTTCAAAATGTCGTGTTTTCAAAATGAAATGAGTGAGACGATTTAAGACATCATAACATGACGGGCTAACTGTTCACAGGGGGAGCCACTGGTTTTGTGTTCCTAATTGGAGGAAGTGACGTCGGCTTTCTGGGAGAAAGCTGACCGTTGCCATTGGTTACCGAGTGTCCATTGGATCCGTTGACCTTGCTCTCAGGTTTTTCACTTTCTTTCATTTCTTCTTTCTTACTTTTATCATCGTTCTTCTCCTTCTCATTCTCATCGCTCTTCTCCGTCGAGCCGGTGTTTTGATTGGCTGGTTTGTCAGACGTGGTCCTGGTACTGTCTGGAGAGACCAAAAAATGTAGGTCAAGGTCGGGATGTGAACCAGCAGTGTCGACAGGTAAGAAATGCCGCAGCGATGTGATGTTAACTTACGTTTAACAGAGCGACAAATTAATTGTTGACATCATGCATGATACAACTTGAGTCGACGTTATCAGACGGCCAATTTAGTCAACAAATAATAGACGGCCAATTTAGTAAACATCAATAGACGGCCAGTTCATTCAAACAATCTCGACTCTGCCTTATCTTACACAAATATATTTACTTTTTCTGACCTGAGATTTTACCGCCAAATTTGATTTTCCTGACGAAGACTAGAAACATCAGCAGACCAAGAGCGGCCAGAGCCACTAGGCCTAAGCTGACTCCAACAGCCACGCCAACCTTGGAGTCAGTCCCAGAGTCACGGCTGGTCTCAGCGCTGGACACGTCGGTCTCTGGGGGGACACAATAACATGACGTCATAGTGACGACACAATAAGACATTAGGTAAAAATATAAAACCTAAGGAAGTTAGACTAAATGAAATGAAAGAACGCTTCTAGCGTGGATGGGGGACCTTTAGCGTATCTAGCGTGGATGAAAAAAATTGCGTTTCTAGCGTGGATGGAGACAATTAGCGTATCTAGCGTGGATGGAGACAATTAGCGTGTCTAGCGTGGATGGAGACAATTAGCGTGTCTAGCGTGGATGGAGACAATTAGCGTGTCTAGCGTGGATGGAAGATAATTAGCGTGTCTAGCGTGGATGGAGATATTTAGCGTGTCTAGCGTGGATGGGAGACAATTAGCGTGTCTAGCGTGATGTCTCCTTACTTGTGGTGCCTGTTGCAGCTGATGTTGTAATGGATGTTGTCGGCGTGGTCGATGTTGTGGTGGTGCTGCTGCTGCTGACGGTTGTGGTGGTCGTGGTTGTGGTGGTAGATGTTGTGGTCGTGAAGCAAGGTCGTATCTGGGTGAAGGTCAGATCGGTGAAGGTGCCCTTGACCTTGGTGCAGTCCCCGGAGTAGTAAGTTCCGGTAAAGGTAGTTCCGGCACTGGATGGAAACCTCTGGAAGAAAACATTCGTGGCAATAGCATCGTGATTAGTTGTGGCAATAGCATCGTGATTAGTTGTGACAATATTATCGTAATTAGTTGTGACAATAGCATCGTGATTAGTTGTGGCAATAGCATCGTGATTAGTTGTGACAATATTATCGTAATTAGTTGTGACAATAGCATCGTGATTAGTTGTGGCAATAGCATCGTGATATGTGAGAAGGTATGAATGCAGTACACGACAAGTTGTGACGATAGCGAAGTGTGTTGACAGAATGAAATACGAATCTACATCCCATTATTATATTAAACGCTGGTAACAAGTTGGCTAATCTCTACCACTACAGCAACTACCACTATTGTTGTGACCACAAGATCCGCCCACAAATCACGTGACCTCTACTCACAAAACACGTGACCTTCCTGGCATCTGTCTGGAACAAGTTGAGGTAGACAAAGCTCGCCCTGGTGACGTCACCCATACAGACCAGCACGCCATTGGCTAAAAGTTGGAAAACAAATTTTAATTTGATCAAGGAGCGTTTGCCGAGTTGTTCCCCCCCCCCCCCCAGCAAAAAACATTAATCAAGTTGAACCCGTTGCCTGACCCCCCTTGACCCCTCTATTACCTGCCCCCCACACCACCTGACCCCCACACCACCTGACCCCCACATGACCTGACCCCCACATGACCTGACCCCCACACCACCTGACCCCCACATCACCTGACCCCAACATGACCCCCACACCACCTGACCCCCACACCACCTGACCCCCCACACGACCTGACCCCCACATGACCTGACCCCCACATGACCTGACCCCCACATGACCTGACCCCCACACCACCTGACCCCCACACCACCTGACCCCCACATCACCTGACCCCCACATCACCTGACCCCCACATGACCTGACCCCCACACCACCTGACCCCCACATCACCTGACCCCCACATCACCTGCCCCGAACACCACCTGACCCCCACACCACCTGACCCCCACATTACCTGACCCCCACATCACCTGACCCCCACATCACCTGACCCCCACATCACCTGACCCCCACATCACCTGACCCCCACATCACCTGACCCCACATCACCTGACCCCCACATCACCTGCCCCCCACACCACCTGACCCCCACACCACCTGACCCCCACATTACCTGACCCCCACATCACCTGACCCCCACATCACCTGAACCCCATATCACCTGACCCCCACATTACCTGACCCCCACATCACCTGACCCCCACATTACCTGACCCCCACATTACCTGACCCCCACAACACCTGACCCCCACATCACCCGACCCCACATCACCTGACCCCCACATTACCTGACCCCCACATTACCTGACCCCCACATCACCTGACCCCCACATCACCTGACCCCCACATCACCCGACCCCCACATCACCTGACCCCCACATTACCTGACCCCCACATCACCTGACCCCCATATAACCTGACCCCCACATCACCTGACCCGCACATTACCTGACCCCCACATCACCTGACCCCCACATTACCTGACCCCCACATCACCTGACCCCCATATAACCTGACCCCCACATCACCTGACCCCCACATCACCTGACCCCCATATAACCTGACCCCCACATCACCTGACCCCCACATCACCTGACCCCCACATCACCTGACCCCCACATGACCTGACCCCCACATGACCTGACCCGCACATGACCTGACCCCCACATGACCTGACCTCCACACCACCTGGCCCCCACATCACCTGCCCCCCACACCACCTGCCCCCCACACCACCTGACCCCCACATCACCTCCCCCCCACATGACCTGACCCCCACACCACCTGACCCCCAAATAAACTGACCCCCACACCACCTGACCCCCACATCACCTGACCCCCACATCACCTGACCCCACATGACCTGACCCCCACATCACCTGACCCCCACACCACCTGACCCCCACATCACCTAACCCCCCCCCCCCCCCCACATCACCTGACCCCCACATCACCTGACCCCCATATCACCTGACCCCCACATTACCTGACCCCCACATCACCTGACCCCCACATCACCTGACCCCCACATCACCTGACCCCCATACCCACCTGACCCCCACACCACCTGACCCCCACACCACCTGACCCCCACATGACCTGACCCCCACACCACCTGACCCCCAAATCACCTGACCCCCACACCACCTGACCCCCACATGACCTGACCCCCACATGACCTGACCCCCACATCACCTGACCCCCACATCACCTGACCCCCACATCACCTGACCCCCACATCACCTAACCCCCCCCCCCCCCCCACATCACCTGACCCCCACATCACCTGACCCCCATATCACCTGACCCCCACATTACCTGACCCCCACATCACCTGACCCCCACATCACCTGACCCCCATACCCACCTGACCCCCACACCACCTGACCCCCACATCACCTGCCCCCCACACCACCTGACCCCCACACCACCTGACCCCCACATCACCTGACCCCCACACCACCTGACCCCCACATTACCTGACCCCCACATTACCTGACCCCAACATCACCTGACCCCCACATCACCTGACCCCCACATTACCTGACCCCCACAACACCTGACCCCCACATCACCCGACCCCCACATCACCTGACCCCCACATTACCTGACCCCCACATTACCTGACCCCCACATCACCTGACCCCCACATCACCTGACCCGCACATTACCTGACCCCCACATCACCTGACCCCCATATAACCTGACCCCCACATCACCTGACCCCCACATCACCTGACCCCCACATCAACTGACCCCCACATCACCTGACCCCCACATCACCTGACCCCCACATCACCTGACCCCCACATCACCTGACCCCCATATAACCTGACCCCCACATCACCTGACCCCCACATCACCTGACCCCCACATGACCTGACCCCCACATGACCTGACCCGCACATGACCTGACCCCCACATGACCTGCCCCCCACACCACCTGACCCCCACATCACCTCCCCCCCACACCACCTGACCCCCACACGACCTGACCCCCACATGACCTGACACCCACATGACCTGACCCCCACATGATCTGACCCCCACACCACCTCACCCCCACACCACCTGACCCGCACATCACCTGCCCCCCACACCACCTGACCCCCACATGACCTGACCCCCACATGACCTGACCCCCACATGACCTGACCCCCACATCACCTGACCCCCATACCCACCTGACCCCCACACCACCTGACCCCCACATGACCTGACCCCCACATCACCTGACCCCCACATGACCTGACCCCCACATGACCTGACCCCCAAATCACCTGACCCCCACACCACCTGACCCCCACATCACCTGACCCCCACATCACCTGACCCCCATACCCACCTGACCCCCACACCACCTGACCCCCACATGACCTGACCCCCACACCACCTGACCCCCAAATCACCTGACCCCCACACCACCTGACCCCCACATGACCTGACCCCCACATCACTGACACCCACATGTCCTGACCCCCCCCCCCCCCCCCCCCCATTACCTGAGTTGAAGACCCGGGTCGAGCACATGCTGTAGTTGGCTGTGGCCGTCTGGTTGTTGGAGCAGAAACTTAGCTCCGTGCTTGCACACAGGCCGTAGGAGAACCACGTGATCAGGTCACGTGGACACGTGACAGACACATCAGCTGACGTGGCACCTGCAACGTGACATAAGTCACATGATCTGATGACCCTAACATCTAACATCACACTCTCATATCACGTGATGCCCGACATACGAACCACACAACGCATGTCCGGTGCTATTAAGTAAACTATATAGAATAAATTATCTTAATGAAGTGTAAATAGTTCACCATTTTTAACGAGGGTAGTGGGAAGTTCCGATGCGCTGTTTTTAGTGCAGATGGCGGACATGTTAAACGGGTCGTCAATGTTCTGGATGACCCCTGTCCGACCCTGGTCGAATCCAGTTGCAGTCAGGATAGCTGGAAGTACAACATATGGGGGGGGGTCGTAAGGTAAGTGGTCAACAAATGGGGGTCGTAGGGTAACTGGTCAATATATGGGGGGGGGGTCGTAGGGTAACAGGTCAACATTTGGGGGTCGTAGGGTAACAGGTCAACATATGGGGGTCGTAGGGTAACTGGTCAACATATGGGGGTCGTAGGGTAACTGGTCAACATATGGGGGTCTTAGGGTAACAGGTCAACATTTGGGGGTCGTAGGGTAGCAGGTCAACATACGGGGGGGGGTCGTAGGGTAACAGGTCAACATTTGGGGGTCGTAGGGTAACAGGTCAACATACGGGGGGGGGTCGTAGGGTAACAGGTCAACATTTGGGGGTCGTAGGGTAGCAGGTCAACATATGGGGGTCGTAGGGTAACAGGTCAACATACGGGGGGGGGGTCGTAGGGTAACAGGTCAACATTTGGGGGTCGTAGGGTAGCAGGTCAACATATGGGGGTCGTAGGGTAACAGGTCAACATACGGGGGGGGGGTCGTAGGGTAGCAGGTCAACATATGGGGGGGGTCGTAGGGTAACAGGTCAACATATGGGGGTCGTAGGGTAACAGGTCAACATATGGGGGTCGTAGGGTAACTGGTCAATATATGGGGGTCGTAGGGTAACTGATCAAGTACACGCCCACTGTACTGCTAGGACTGACATACCAGCCTATGTAGGACTGTCATACCAGCCTATGTAGGACTGACCATATGTATGGTCGTCATGTGATATCTATGAGCACCAGGTATCTGCTCGCCAAAGGTTACCTGTGAGATCAAACATCAGGTAGGCACTGGCCGTGACCTTCTGAAGCTCCCAGCAGACGAAATAGTTGACCGTCTCATCTACAACTCCCGTGTATGATGCGTTTCTGGTGGATGCGATGGTCAAGCCAATAAAAAAACAAAGCGCAACAAAAGTATCGTTAACGGTTTTTTGAAACCCTCAAACTACAAATTATATTTAAATACATCTAAATACAAATAAACATATCAATTTCTATTTATAGGATAACACACCTAAACACATACTCAGCAGACACAGACATAGATAATATACAATACATGCATTTATAGGACAAAGGTATTCATATACACAAGCAACACCCACACCAACACCCACATAAACACACATACACACACATCTAAGCACAAAGATCCACACACACACATCTACACTTACATAAACTCACACAGCACACCACACACACCACATCACCCACACACCAAGAAGCTTACATGACATAGATACACATCTACACACACCACACCACACCACACAAACACACCAAGAAGCTTACATGACATAGATACACATCTACACACACCACACCACACCACACAAACACACCAAGAAGCTTACATGACATAGATACACATCTACACACACCACACCACACCACACAAACACACCAAGAAGCTTACATGACATAGATACACATCTACACACACCACACCACACCACACAAACATACCAAGAAGCTTACATGACATAGATACACATCTACACACACCACACCACACAAACACACCAAGAAGCTTACATGACATAGATACACATCTACACAAACCACACCACACAAACACACCAAGAAGCTTACATGACATAGATACACATCTACACACACCACACCACACAAACACACCAAGAAGCTTACATGACATAGATACACATCTACACACACCACACCACACAACACACCAAGAAGCTTACATGACATAGATACACATCTACACACACCACATCACACCACACAAACACACCAAGAAGCTTACATGACATAGATACACATCTACACACACCACATCACACCACATAAACACACCAAGAAGCTTACATGACATAGATACACATCTACACACACCACATCACACCACACAAACACACCAAGAAGCTTACATGACATAGATACACATCTACACACACCACATCACACCACACAAACACACCAAGAAGCTTACATGACGTAGACACACATCTACACACACCACATCACACCACACAAACACATCAAGAAGCTTACATGACATAGATACACATCTACACACACCACATCACACCACACAAACACACCAAGAAGCTTACATGACATAGATACACATCTACACACACCACATCACACCACACAAACACACCAAGAAGCTTACATAACATAGATACACATCTACACACACCACACCACACCACACAAACACACCAAGAAGCTTACATGACATAGATACACATCTACACACACCACATCACACCACACAAACACACCAAGAAGCTTACATGACATAGATACACATCTACACACACCACATCACACCACACAAACACACCAAGAAGCTTACATGACATAGATACACATCTACACACACCACATCACACCACACAAACACACCAAGAAGCTTACATGACATAGATACACATCTACACACACCACATCACACCACACAAACACACCAAGAAGCTTACATGACATAGATACACATCTACACACACCACACCACATCACACCACACAAACACACCAAGAAGCTTACATGACGTAGATACACATCTACACACACCACATCACACCACACAAACACACCAAGAAGCTTACATGACATAGATACACATCTACACACACCACATCACACCACACAAACACACCAAGAAGCTTACATGACATAGATACACATCTACACACACCACACCACACAACACACCAAGAAGCTTACATGACATAGATACACATCTACACACACCACATCACACCACACAAACACACCAAGAAGCTTACATGACATAGATACACATCTACACACACCACACCACACCACACAAACACACCAAGAAGCTTACATGACATAGATACACATCTACACACACCACATCACACCACACAAACACACCAAGAAGCTTACATGACATAGATACACATCTACACACACCACATCACACAACACAAACACACCAAGAAGCTTACATGACATAGATACACATCTACACACACCACATCACACCACACAAACACACCAAGAAGCTTACATGACAAAGATACACATCTACACACACCACACCACATCACCCACACACCAAGAAGCTTACATGACATAGATACACATCTACACACACCACACCACACCACACAAACACACCAAGAAGCTTACATGACATAGACACACATCTACACACACCACACCACACCACACAAACACACCAAGAAGCTTACATGACATAGACACACATCTACACACACCACATCACACCACACAAACACACCAAGAAGCTTACATGACATAGGCACACATCTACACACACCACATCACACCACACAAACACACCAAGAAGCTTACATGACATAGATACACATCTACACACACCACACCACACACACAAACACACCAAGAAGCTTACATGACATAGATACACATCTACACACACCACACCACATCACACAAACACACCAAGAAGCTTACATGACATAGATACACATCTACACACACCACACCACACACACAAACACACCAAGAAGCTTACATGACATAGATACACATCTACACACACCACACCACATCACACAAACACACCAAGAAGCTTACATGACATAGACACACATCTACACACACCACATCACACCACACAAACACACCAAGAAGCTTACATGACATAGATACACATCTACACACACCACATCACACCACACAAACACACCAAGAAGCTTACATGACATAGATACACATCTACACACACCACACCACACAACACACCAAGAAGCTTACATGACATAGATACACATCTACACACACCACATCACACCACACAAACACACCAAGAAGCTTACATGACATAGATACACATCTACACACACCACACCACACCACACAAACACACCAAGAAGCTTACATGACATAGATACACATCTACACACACCACATCACACCACACAAACACACCAAGAAGCTTACATGACATAGATACACATCTACACACACCACATCACACAACACAAACACACCAAGAAGCTTACATGACATAGATACACATCTACACACACCACATCACACCACACAAACACACCAAGAAGCTTACATGACAAAGATACACATCTACACACACCACACCACATCACCCACACACCAAGAAGCTTACATGACATAGATACACATCTACACACACCACACCACACCACACAAACACACCAAGAAGCTTACATGACATAGACACACATCTACACACACCACACCACACCACACAAACACACCAAGAAGCTTACATGACATAGACACACATCTACACACACCACATCACACCACACAAACACACCAAGAAGCTTACATGACATAGGCACACATCTACACACACCACATCACACCACACAAACACACCAAGAAGCTTACATGACATAGATACACATCTACACACACCACACCACACACACAAACACACCAAGAAGCTTACATGACATAGATACACATCTACACACACCACACCACATCACACAAACACACCAAGAAGCTTACATGACATAGATACACATCTACACACACCACACCACACACACAAACACACCAAGAAGCTTACATGACATAGATACACATCTACACACACCACACCACATCACACAAACACACCAAGAAGCTTACATGACATAGACACACATCTACACACACCACATCACACCACACAAACACACCAAGAAGCTTACATGACATAGATACACATCTACACACACCACACCACACCACACATCACAACAAGAAGCTTACATGACATAGATACACATCTACACACACCACACCACACCACACATCACACACACCAAGAAGCTTACATGACATAGATACACATCTACACACACCACACCACACCACACAAACACACCAAGAAGCTTACATGACATAGACACACATCTACACACACCACACACACAAACACACCAAGAAGCTTACATGACATAGATACACATCTACACACACCACATCACACCACACAAACACACCAAGAAGCTTACATGACATAGATACACATCTACACACACCACATCACACCACACAAACACACCAAGAAGCTTACATGACATAGATACACATCTACACACACCACATCACACCACACTAACACACCAAGAAGCTTACATGACATAGATACACATCTACACACACCACATCACACCACACAAACACACCAAGAAGCTTACATGACGTAGACACACATCTACACACACCACATCACATCACCCACACACCAAGAAGCTTACATGACATAGATACACATCTACACACACCACATCACACCACACAAACACACCAAGAAGCTTACATGACATAGATACACATCTACACACACCACATCACACCACACAAACACACCAAGAAGCTTACATGACATAGATACACATCTACACACACCACATCACACCACACAAACACACCAAGAAGCTTACATGACGTAGACACACATCTACACACACCACATCACATCACCCACACACCAAGAAGCTTACATGACATAGATACACATCTACACACACCACATCACACCACACAAACACACCAAGAAGCTTACATGACATAGATACACATCTACACACACCACATCACACCACACAAACACACCAAGAAGCTTACATGACATAGATACACATCTACACACACCACATCACACCACACAAACACACCAAGAAGCTTACATGACATAGATACACATCTACACACACCACATCACACCACACAAACACACCAAGAAGCTTACATGACATAGATACACATCTACACACACCACATCACACCACACAAACACACCAAGAAGCTTACATGACATAGATACACATCTACACACACCACATCACACCACACAAACACACCAAGAAGCTTACATGACGTAGACACACATCTACACACACCACATCACATCACCCACACACCAAGAAGCTTACATGACATAGATACACATCTACACACACCACATCACACCACACAAACACACCAAGAAGCTTACATGACGTAGACACACTTCTACACACACCACATCACATCACCCACACACCAAGAAGCTTACATGACATAGATACACATCTACACACACCACATCACACCACACAAACACACCAAGAAGCTTACATGACATAGATACACATCTACACACACCACATCACACCACACAAACACACCAAGAAGCTTACATGACGCAGACACACATCTACACACACCACACCACACCACATCACATCACCCACACACCAAGAAGCTTACATGACGTAGACACACATCTACACACACCACACCACACCACATCACATCACCCACACACCAAGAAGCTTACATGACGTAGACACACATCTACACACACCACACCACACCACATCACATCACCCACACACCAAGAAGCTTACATGACGTAGACACACATCTACACACACCACACCACACCACATCACATCACCCACACACCAAGAAGCTTACATGACGTAGACACACATCTACACACACCACACCACACCACATCACATCACCCACACACCAAGAAGCTTACATGACGTAGACACACATCTACACACACCACACCACACCACATCACATCACCCACACACCAAGAAGCTTACATGACGTAGACACACATCTACACACACCACACCACACCACATCACATCACCCACACACCAAGAAGCTTACATGACGTAGACACACATCTACACACACCACACCACACCACATCACATCACCCACACACCAAGAAGCTTACATGACGTAGACACACATCTACACACACCACACCACACCACATCACATCACCTACACACCAAGAAGCTTACATGACGTAGACACACATCTACACACACCACACCACACCACATCACATCACCCACACACCAAGAAGCTTACATGACATAGATACACATCTACACACACCACATCACACCACACAAACACACCAAGAAGCTTACATGACATAGATACACATCTACACACACCACACCACACCACACAAACACACCACACCACACACACACACCAAGAAGCTTACATGACATAGATACACATCTACACACACCACATCACACCACACAAACACACCAAGAAGCTTACATGACATAGATACACATCTACACACACCACACCACACCACACAAACACACCACACCACACAAACACACCACACCACACACACACACCACACATCACACCACACAACACACCAAGAAGCTTACATGACATAGACACTCCCCGAGCTGAAGTAACAATCGAACGTGTCCAGGTCCGTCGTGGTGCTCCATGTGATGTTCATGCCCGTTAGAGAACTGCTGGCGAAGGTCAAGGTTCTTGGTTCATCGCCCTTGACCCACATCGCCCGAACATCGACTGGGAACGTGCAGGTGGCTTGAGAATCTTCCAGAACACAGTGGCCTGTCAAAGTAGCTGACGTCATCAGAATATCTTCACTTCACACCTTACACCTCACACCTCACACATCACACCTCACACCTCACACCTCACACCTCACACATCACACCTCACACCTCACACCTCACACCTCACACATCACACCTCACACCTCACACCTCACACCTCACACATCACACCTCACACATCACACCTCACACTTCACACATCACACCTCACACCTCACACATCACACCTCACACATCACACCTCACACATCACACCTCACACATCACACCTCACACCTCACACTTCACACTTCACACTTCACACTTCACACATCACACCTCACACCTCACACCTCACACATCACACCTCACACATCACACCTCACACCTCACACTTCACACTTCACACTTCACACTTCACACATCACACCTCACACTTCACACATCACACATCACACCTCACACATCACACCTCACACATCACACCTCACACATCACACCTCACACCTCACACCTCACACATCACACCTCACACCTCACACTTCACACTTCACACTTCACACATCACACCTCACACCTCACACTTCACACCTCACACATCACACCTCACACCTCACACCTCACACCTCACACATCACACATCACACATCACACCTCACACATCACACCTCACACATCACACCTCACACATCACACCTCACACATCACACATCACACATCACACCTCACACATCACACCTCACACATCACACCTCACACATCACACCTCACACATCACACTTCACACATCACACCTCACACCTCACACATCACACCTCACACCTCACACATCACACATCACACCTCACACTTCACACATCACATATCACACCCCACACCTCCCTACTACCCACAACTCCCCCTTCCCCTGAACACTTCTCTCCCAACCTCCCCTCACCCCCCCCCCCCCCCCCCCAGCATACCTAAAATGACGATAAACACAAACACTGCTGACGTCATCCCAATGGTTTCTTGACCAAACTGAGAACAAACAGAAAATTTTGTGAACAATCAGACGGTCACTAAATTTAAAATTCCGTCATAGGTCATCGGTCATAAGACATAATCAACAACCACATAAAGTCTGTCACATCATAAAACTTGTCAGTCCTGTGTCACATTATAAAGCTTGTCAGTCCTGTGTCACATTATAAAACTTGTCAGTCCTGTGTCACATTATAAAACTTGTCAGTCCTGTGTCACATTATAAAGCTTGTCAGTCCTGTGTCACATTATAAAACTTGTCAGTCCTGTGTCACATTATAAAACTTGTCAGTCCTGTGTCACATTATAAAACTTGTCAGTCCTGTGTCACATTATAAAACTTGTCAGTCCTGTGTCACATTATAAAACTTGTCAGTCCTGTGTCACATTATAAAACTTGTCAGTCCTGTGTCACATTATAAAACTTGTCAGTCCTGTGTCACATTATAAAACTTGTCAGTCCTGTCTCACATCATAAAACTTGTCAGTCATGTGTGTCACATCATAAAACTTGTCAGTCCTGTGTCACATCATAAAACTTGTCAGTCCTGTCTCACATTATAAAACTTGTCAGTCCTGTCTCACATCATAAAACTTGTCAGTCCTGTGTCACATTATAAAACTTGTCAGTCATGTGTGTCACATCATAAAACTTGTCAGTCCTGTGTGTCACATCATAAAACTTGTAAGTCATGTGTCACATAATAAAACTTGTACAAACCCTAATATCTGACACTTGAAAGACAGAAGGGGTTCGCTGAATCATATACCTGTAACGGGGTTCAACTGAACCAATCACCTTTGGCAGGGGTTCAGTGAATCACCTTTGGCAGGGGTTCACTGAATCACCTTTGGCAGGGGTTCACTAAATCACTCAAACGTTGCAGGAATTCACTGAATCACCTTTGGCAGGGGTTGACTAAATCACTTACCTGTGACAGGGGTTCACAGAACTACACACCTGTAACAAGCCTGTCCACAGATTTCACTGAACCCTACAACACAACGTCAGTAAACAGACCAACTAGTGTCTGACCATCAGAAAATATTTCACCACTGAGATCACACGCCAACACCCCTAGAGACACACATCAGCAACGTCTAGAGCCATGTTGAAACCGACGTCATCGCATTAGAACACATAAACTGGTCAAATCAATCAAATTCAACAACCCCCCCTCCTCCAACTTAACTCCCCCCAACCCCTTTATTTCACTTCTCCCCCTCCCCCAGGGAACTCCGCGCGCCCGGTAGAGCGGCCATAAATTACCCGCGCGGGATTTTGAAATTGACCGTAAATAAAAGGCGCTTTGATGGACCACGTGACAAGGGTGATTGGACTTAAGGACTTCTGCACAAACGTGATATCTGCTGCTAGAGAGGTCAGGAGTGATCACTGGTCACGCCAGTCAGCACCCACCCCACCCCACCCCCAACCTTATGTAAAGGTAACTATATTGTTGGTTTACCGTAAACATTCTAAAATCCTAGTTTCATATATATATATATATATATATATATATATATATATATATATATATATATATATATATATATATATATATATATATATATATATATTGTCTACATCCTCCATAGAAATATGGCTTTGAGCTTCCTATATTTATTTTGAATTATATCTTGTCGTTGCTACCCTTTTCTCACCCCTCCCTCCCCCCCCTCACCCCTCCCCCCCCTACCTACCACCCTTCACCACTCCCACAGCTACGCCACTGCCTAAAATCTCCACCAATCAGCGTCAACTGGAGAGTGAGTGTCACATGACCTGTCGTGACAGCGCGGAGTGATACCCCTGTAGCAACCTAGTGAGACGACAACCTTCCGATATCGACGCGTAAAGAAGTAGTCCCTCCACTCATGACCCGAGGGCCGTTTGAAAAGTTTTTTGTGTGAGACACGCCCAGGCTACACCCCCAGGTGAAAGAAATCCATAATTACTAATTAGTAAAACCGTCTTAAAACCACTTGAAGCGAGCTCTGACTTAAGACATGTACTGAGTACCACAGTTCTGGCAACTCAGGATTGTCTGGGGGGGGGGGGGGGGGGGGGGGGGCAGGGGGAGTGGGGCAGGGAGTGCTCGAAATAGACGTGTTTGGCTGTTGTTTGTTGTTGGTTAGCTGTTGTATACTGTTGTATGCTGTTGTATGCTGTTGTATGCTGTTGTATGCTGTTGTATACTGTTGTATGCTGTTGTATGCTGTTGTATGCTGTTGTATGCTGTTGTATGCTGTTGTATGCTGTTGTATGCTGTTGTATGCTGTTGTATACTGTTGTATGCTGTTGTATGCTGTTGTATGCTGTTGTATACTGTTGTATGCTGTTGTATGCTGTTGTATGCTGTTGTATACTGTTGTATGCTGTTGTATACTGTTGTATACTGTTGTATGCTGTTGTATACTGTTGTATGCTGTTTGTCAGATGTTTGGAATCTGTGCGACAATATTTGCTTCAACTAAACTATAAACTATGTTGTCTGTTGTCTATTGTCTGTTGTCTGTCACCGTGCTAGAGAGATTGTCTGTTGTCTGTCAGTCTGCTATCTATCAAATAAAGGGCCGAACAAACTAGTGATCTATAAATCATCAAACAAATCGAATGGTTTTTATGTGCATGATTTAAATGTTGCTGTAGTTTTTATTTGCATGATTTGAATGTAGCAGTGTGGCTGCTGAAGTGGGTAACTTATGACGTCCATGAAAAATTTACTTTCACATAAGTGCTGAAATAGGTCAATAATAACGTCACTCTAAGGGAAGTAACCGAGCGATTTATGATTCCATTGCTTTAGTCCAGCAAAAATACAGCGCTTAAGCTGGTCTGTAAACCTGGAACTATTTATTGTCTGTACATGTGGTGTCATAAATCAAACTGTCATGTTACGTCATACACAATATACATAGACCTCCATTGTTGTGTAACACTTTAAGGACATACAGACGCGTGTATAAATTGTACCCACAAAACTGTCATTTTATAATAGGTTTTAAAGATTACAATTTTTATATCGGCATTAAAAACACGTGCTGAATTCAGTTGTTAGCCTCAGTTGTATCAGCTTATCCGTCCTGACACACTGATACATTAAATTAAAAAGTATAAAAATTAAATGACGAGATTTATAAAGACACATTACCACCTCCGTACCACTTATTTATTTCACAATGCGCCACGCTTAAAATTTTTACCCCCCCCTCCCAAAACATCACAGAAAAGCGAGACCCCCCCCCCTCCCTTCCCCTTTAATGACGTCAAAGAGCCTACAACAAACCCAAACCAATTGGTAGTGTTTTTTTTTTTTTAAATAGCCTACTTATTTCTTTCTAAATCATTTACTGAGCTCGACCAAACATTGAGTATATTCATCAACTTCTTCTACAATTGACTAAATCAGTCTTTTAAAAACGTCCCTCCTCCCCCTGAAAGTGTGACGTCATTGATATACGACTACCTACTGCCCCACAATAACAAAAGAACTGCTCGCTAACCTAAATGTTTGTTGTGAGCAGCGGTCAAAGGGATATAACTCAGTTTATTAAAATTACATTATGCGCATATATATTTACTTCCCTTTAATTTTACAATTGTCGAGTCATGCATAAGCTACTCTACTTGCTAGACTCAGTGTCTATCTATCCCAGACTCAGGCTCGACTTGTGTGCGTTTCTGGCTACTGAAGTCTGTATCAGTCACGAAAGTCAAGTCACATGACTTAAGAGTTAAAATTTTTAGTCACATTAGGCAACATCAGACTTAAGACTTGTTTATCTTTTTTTGTGTTTTCCCAACACAGCATCAGAGAGATGTGTTCATGACGTCAGTAAACTGTCACGTCATAGCCCAGACGCCACCAGCCAGACATACCCTACCACGTGTGTACGTGGCACACTGGTGTAATTTAGTATTTGGATTTAAAAAATCATATACATTAATTTCAGGCTTATTAATGAAAACAATGGGTAAGACTTTCTTTTTATGTATTTTAAAGTTGCATCTCTCTTCCCCCCCCCCCTTTCCGAAAAATAAAAATAAATGTTACTGTTGTATCACAATAAAATGTTGGATATGTCGTAGTTTCAAATATTAGCTCATTGTCTGAGCCTTTTAACCTATAGCCTGAGGCCGAAAGCCGGCCATTCAATTCTAGATCCAGCTACGTGTGGGTTGGTGGCTGTCGGCAGTTGTAATGTAGTGTGGCGATTGTTTGATCGTGTGGCAGTTCTAATGTGTGGCGATTGTTTGATCGTGTGGCAGTTCTAATGTGTGGCGATTGTTTGATCGTGTGGCGATTGTTTGATCGTGTGGCAGTTCTAATGTGTGGCGATTGTTTGATCGTGTGGCAGTTCTAATGTGTGGCGATTGTTTGATCGTGTGACGATTGTTTGATCGTGTGGCAGTTCTAATGTGTGGCGATTGTTTGATCGTGTGACGATTGTTTGATCGTGTGGCAGTTCTAATGTGTGGCGATTGTTTGATCGTGTGGCAGTTCTAATGTGTGGCGATTGTTTGATCGTGTGACGATTGTTTGATCGTGTGGCAGTTCTAATGTGTGGCGATTGTTTGATCGTGTGACGATTGTTTGATCGTGTGGCAGTTCTAATGTGTGGCGATTGTTTGATCGTGTGACGATTGTTTGATCATGTGGCAGTTCTAATGTGTGACGATTGTTTGATCGTGTGGCGATTGTTTGATCGTGTGGCAGTTCTAATGTGTGGCTATTGTTTGATCGTGTGGCGATTGTTTGATCGTGTGGCAGTTCTAATGTGTGACGATTGTTTGATCGTGTGGCAGTTCTAATGTGTGGCGATTGTTTGATCGTGTGGCGATTGTTTGATCGTGTGGCAGTTCTAATGTGTGGCTATTGTTTGATCGTGTGGCGATTGTTTGATCGTGTGGCAGTTCTAATGTGTGGCGATTGTTTGATCGTGTGGCAGTTCTAATGTGTGGCTATTGTTTGATCGTGTGGCGATTGTTTGATCGTGTGGCAGTTCTAATGTGTGGCGATTGTTTGATCGTGTGGCGATTGTTTGATCGTGTGGCAGTTCTAATGTGTGGCGATTGTTTGATCGTGTGGCGATTGTTTGATCGTGTGGCAGTTCTAATGTGTGGCGATTGTTTGATCGTGTGGCGATTGTTTGATCGTGTGGCAGTTCTAATGTGTGGCTATTGTTTGATCGTGTGGCGATTGTTTGATCGTGTGGCAGTTCTAATGTGTGGCGATTGTTTGATCGTGTGGCAGTTCTAATGTGTGGCTATTGTTTGATCGTGTGGCGATTGTTTGATCGTGTGGCAGTTCTAATGTGTGGCGATTGTTTGATCGTGTGGCAGTTCTAATGTGTGGCGATTGTTTGATCGTGTGGCGATTGTTTGATCGTGTGACAGTTCCAGGGGCGTAGCGACCCTTCCCGGCGCCCGGGGACAAACTTTCGATTTTGCACCCCCCCTCAAGCTTTCAATTTATTTTTCCAACCCATTTTGGCGCCCCCTAAGGTCGGCGCACGAGGACATATGTCTCCCCCCCCCCCCTCCTCGCTACGCCTCTCGGCAGTTCTAATGTTTTATGGCCATTTGTTTGATGTAGACGGCCATACCCACTCCGCCACATGAAGAAATATTTTAAGTTGAACACCTGACCTTGTAGTCAGGACGATTGTAGGAAAAAAGTCACAGTAAAAAAAAAACACAGGAAAAAAAAACACAGAAAAAAAGTCACAGGAAAAAAAGTCACAGGAAAAAAAGTCACAGGAAAAAAAGTCACAAATATATATTTGCATAATATTTGTTAATACTTTTATGTATTAAATATTTAGAGAGTGCAAATTAACTTAGGATTAATTAAATGTAATGTAATGTGTGTAGGCTGTATACGCATAGGAATTTTTATAATTCATCTAAAAATATTTATTTATGAAGTATGTAGATTATAATTATCTTAAACTTAAGATTAGTAGCATTTAATAGAATGCTCCAAAGTCCACGTTTTTCATCGTGTTTTTTTTTTAAAAATACCAATATTAAATTACCGTGAAATGGTAAGTTCATCTGACCTGCTGCCCTCAACTCATGGCAACAATATTTATGTTTAGTTCAACCACCTT